ATAGAACAAAACAAATATCAGATTCGAATTCAGCAATATGAAATTAGTTGTGTGAGCATGATCTCATATGTGAACCATTTTGGCTGTTGACCAGTGTATAATTCATACATTATTACCATTTTTTGTATTTCTTTGTTTCCTTTCATGTCTGTATTTTTTTTTTCATTGTTGTTGAGAAGAAGAAGAAGAAGCGCAGAAAACGATAATATAAAAAGAGAAAGAATTTAAGTTAGTGAATGAAAAGAATTACAGTATGGAGACAGAACAAAAAGACTTCGTAAAATATGATAAAAGGTCATAGAAAGAAAACAAATCAAAGATACTGTAAGAGAAATGCAATAATAGTCACAAGAGGGAAATATAACAAACCAGTGTATGAAATTAAGCGTGATAAAGTTGATAACAAAGAAACAAAAAATAAAAAATAAATAACACAAACAAAATAGAAAACATCAAATGATATATATATATATATATATATATATATATATATATATATATATATATATATATATATATATATATATATATATATATATATATATATATATATATATATATATATATATATATATATCCTAGTTAAACTCTTTAACTAACCAATCTACAGCCGCTCGTATGATAGGAGAGCAGCGTTCTTCCCCCAACCCACCCAACAACTTCTCATGACCCTGCTCCTTCCCTAACCTTCCCCCAGGTCATCCAGCCCAGTGCTAGATGACCCAATAGGCACAGTAGGCACGTGCCAAGGGGCACCAAAGGTCAGTAGATTTCGGTATGATGAACGCAACGAGAATACTTGTTTTCTTATGAATAATAATGTTTCATAATAAAAAACTCAAAATGAAGCTTTATAATTAATTGGCTACCTATATTAGTTGGCTGCTTAACGCCCCCCGCCTCCCATATAATTAGTCTCCTGTGTTGCTTGAATTTGAAATTGAAATACTTTATTGACAATAAAACTATTGCATCAAAAGGACAGGGTAGTATATTACTCCCACCCTCACCTTTGCCATCCCCTTCTGGGGTTTATAAAAAGTGATAAATGTTATAACAATACAAGAATTATTTTTACATCAATGAAATAGTTCATTTTGACATGAACACTGTACTACATTAAAGAACAGATAATGTAATCCTACACAAAAATAAATGTCATATACTTGGAGCAAAATTTTTATACATTGCAAGAATTACTTTAATTTTTCTATTATTAATCATCCAACAAACTTGTTTCTTTAAAGAAGTGATCTCACTGTTCCTGTATGGTTGGATTTTTTCACATCCTAATACATAATGTTGTAGTGTATGTGCATCCCTAAGATGATGACACAGTTGACAAGGTTGACCCGCCCCTCCACTTATCTGCCAGTAATATTTGTATCCCAATCTTAGTCTCATTATAACAGTATCAACAGATGGTAAGTTAGTCCCATAAGATACATTGGTGTTTTGTAAAACATACAAATAGTGCTGAAAACTCTCGCTACATATGGCAATCACTTCTTTTCTTGCTTTTTCCCATTCCTCTCTTTTTCTTTTAATTTCCATCTTTATCATTCTAATACTTACATTGCTAACAATATCTATATACTAGGGCTGGGCAGGAATCGATTCCAGAATCGATTCCTGCGATTCTGATGAGCTACCTCAGAATCGGTTCCCAATTTGGGAACCGGTGCCCATGAAGTGTTTCCACTAACACTACAGTGAGAGTGAGTTGCCGACCGTCCTACCCTGTCCTCCTGTGGCGCCGCTGGCGCGTATCCGTTGCAACAGTGGCAGTGCGCGTGCACTCTGCCAGTGCAGCGGCCTACCTCACGCTCAGTCGCTCACGAGACTCACGTAGGCGGAGTTGAATTGACTCGTCAGTCGTCACTCCACTGCCAGCCCTTTCGCCCTTCATCATTCATGTCAGAGGTCCCAGGGGCCCAGAGGGTGATTGTCGATGGCTCGATGCAAATGTAATTGAGTTCTAGTGCAACACTAGTACAGGTTACCTCTTTTTCTAGCTGGAGTGTATAGTATACTACAGTTAACCCTCACTTTACGCGGTTAATGTAACCCGGAGGGTCCCGCGTAAAGTGAGGAACGCATAAAGTGAATAACATAACATATGGGATTAATTGAAATGGAGTCCGGGCCGATCCCCAAACTCCACTTTTTGACGACACACAACTATGTTGTAGTAAAAATTTTATCTTAACTTTATGATGGTATGAAAAATCAAGTAATATAGAAGAGGTTAGGTTAGGAAGATAAAGGTTAACATAGGAAAAATACAGGTAAGGTTAGAAAACTAAAAATTAGGTGTAACACTTACGGTAGTAGAAGAGATGGGTCGGCATACGGGGATGGAGGCTGGTTCCGAGGCAGAGGGCAGATTACTGGCCCTCAGGTGAATCACCATTACTAGGTGAATCACCATCACTGTCACTTACAGTTGTCAGGGCTTCCCTGACAAATCCCTCAAAGTCACCTTCACTGTCACTACCACTGGCTTGGGCTGGCTGTGGTGGGTTGCGGGCGAAGAAATCTGTTATGCTTTGCTGACGGCTGGCGTTGATGTTGTCGTGATACACCTTGATGTACGGCTCCATAGCCTGCACCAGCCGGGTATGGAAGACTTCATAGCGGTCATCGTCATTGTCACGGGAAAGGAAGGACTTCATCTTCTCTGCACACTCCATGGCACCCTTAATATCACTATGACTTAAATTGTGTTCTTCGGAGACTGACGCACCTTCTTCCTCCTCTTCACTGACGTGTTCTTCTTCCAACATCTCGTCGGCAGTCACTTCAGGATCTCTGATCACCTCCAGGATGTCGTCGTTGGTGGTCTCGGAGAAGCCTGGAACTGTAACAGTCTGTGCAGCTTCTCTGGCAAGGTCCACTGCTACTGCAACATTCTGAACCTCACCAGTCACAGATTGACTCCTCCTCTCACCTGGTATTCCATGCAACACATGTCTCCATGCGTGACGAATTGTAGCAATAGACAGCTGATCCCATGACTCCACCAAGAAGTCCACAGCTTTTTTGATGTTAAATACTCTCCAGAATTGTTTGAAGAGTATTTTTTGCTGTTCTAACTGTTGATCCTCATCTTCTTCGCTCTTGCTATCGGTGGTGGTGTCACTCAGGTTACGCAACTCTTCCCTGGTGTTGGTGTAGTCGTTCAGGAGCTGGAATTTTTTGTTGAGAATGCAGCTTTCACATTGCAAATCAACTCCTGGTCCATGGGCTGGATTAAAGACGTAGTGTTGGGAGGAAGGAAGACCACTTTTACGTTGGGGTGACGATCTAACAGTAGGGGCGAGTGTCCTGGTGCGTTGTCCAGCAGCAACAAAATATTAAATGGGACATTCTGTCGCTCACAGAATTTCTTTACATCGGGAACAAAACAGTCATCAAACCAGGAGAGGGACAGTGTAGAGAACATCCATGCCTTACGTGCGGTCAGCCAGTGGACATTTAGCTTGGTCATGTCTATGCTCTTGTAGGCGTGCGGCTTGCGGGCTGTGTGGATCACCGATAACTTGAGCTTACAGGTACCGGAGGCATTGGTGGTAAACAGGACGGTGATGCGTTCCTTCTGCATTTTCCGGCCCCGAATCCTGCTGGCATTCTTCACAACGAAGGACTTGGAAGATAGCTTTTTCCAGAAAAGACCAGATTCGTCCATGTTAAACACCTGGTCGTCACTGTACTGTCCTTCCTCCATAATCTCACGTAAAAACGGAGGAAATTCCCGAGCCGCAGCACGATCAGCACTCGCTTCTTCACCACCAATGTTTATTTTGGTGATCTTGTTCCGGATCTTAAACCTCTGTAACCACCCAGAGGAAGCATTAAAGGGTTTGAGCTCTGAAGTTCCCATCTTTCGTGCCACTGCCATGTACAGTTCACGTGCGTAGTCCTTAACAGAGCGCGTGTCGACCGCCATGTTCCGTCGCGCCTGACGCACCAAGTACCTCACAAGTAATTTTTCTGTCTTGAGAAGCACCTGGTTGTGAAAATACTTGATCATAGAAGCACCTGTAGACTTTGTGATCTTCATGTGCTCCTTTATCTTGGGTGAATCCTTCTTTATAGTCCGGATCGTAGATTCGTTCACGCCATGCTGGCGCGCCAAATCAACCTGCCTTGTTCTTTTCTCCAACTCTTGGATGATGCTATACTTCACCTCGTAGCTTAAGGAACGTCGTGTCTTCTTTGGTTTAGTGCCGCTGGGTCCAGGTAAGGAAAGGTTTCTCTCTGGGGGTGGTGGTCCGGCGGAAGCCATTTTACGGAACAATGGATGCGCGTTTACACGGAGTGGCCTTGAGGGATGAAACTGCCGCGGCTAGGTCAAGCGTCGTCTTTCCTCCCTCCCTCCCTCCCCCGGGTGGACACGTCATAATACTTTAAGCCAATTACAGCTAGCAGCAGAGGAGGGTAGGGATGCATGGCCAATCACAGGTCTGATACGTCATATGACGTCAGTGATAACGCAACAAAGACACACTGCGCAACCTTACCGCGCCGCTTGCCCAAGCGGAGGGAGGAGGAGGAGGGAGAGGCAGGCAGGCGGGTGGCGCGTGGCGCGTGGGGCAAATCTAAAAATAGCGTCGCGCCGGACACTCTCCGCGGAATGGCGTTCGCGACCGCGAAATGTGAAAATGTTAGGTTCTGGCAAGGCACCGCGGTAACGGTGAAACGCGGATTGCGGGACCGCTTAATGTGAGGACCAACTCTGTATATATATATATATATATATATATATATATATATATATATATATATATATATATATATATATATATATATATATATATATATATATATATATATATATATATATATATATATATATACTGTACTGTGATTGCTTTGTGGAAATTTTTACTTCTTTTGTTATATTTATAATTTATGTATAGTACTGGTACTTGATAACATCAGTAATAATTTTATTTACTTCAGAATGACTACATATATATTGTTTGATTGACAGACATACAAAATGGAAGTAAAAGAGCCACCCCAAGGTGTGACTCCTCCAGTCCAGAGCACCACACGAAGGTCGTCACAACAACCCTCTCGTCTACGAAAATTTGTCCTCCAGAACAGTGCTGGTTTGAGGATTCGAACTCATCCATCTCTTCAAAGTGAACAGATTGGTGTGGTCCATGTCAATGGCACCATTGCATTTGTAGATGAAGTAAGTAGACATACCACGTACCTGTTCACATGAAGTGGTCAACATTTCAATTTAATATAAAATAGTATGAATAAGTGTCACTAAAGCATAAGGTAGATACATACAGTATAATATATACAGTGTAAAGGGACATTCTTTAGGCAGGTATTATATTTAAATCATTAGGATAGTGTCCCTTGTTAAGATGGATGAGCAGTTATTCATGGCCACGTAACTATCATGCCCAGTCTTTAGTGACAACCCACTTGTTATCTGACCAAGAGTAATGAAATGCTCTTGAAACAGCTGCTTCTCCTGGACCCTCGGTGTCATCCAAATAATGAGCCATTGTTATCTAAATAGAGGAGCACCTCATTTACCTGTTGTCACCACACCTCCTCCTCTCACCACACCTCCTCCTGTTGTCACCACACACCCCTGTCACCACACCTCCTCCTGTTGTCACCACACCTCCTCCTGTTGTCACCACACCCCTCCTCCTCCCTCACCACACCTCCTCCTCTCCTCCTCACCACACCTCCACCTGTTGTCACCACACCTCCTCCTCCTCTCACCACACCTCCTCCCTCCTCCCTCACCACACCTCCACCTGTTGTCACCACACCTCCTCCCTCCCTCACCACACCCCTCCTCCTCCTCCACCTGTCCTCCCTCCTCTCACTCCTCCTCCCTCCTCACCACACTCCACCTGTTGTCCTCCTCCTCCCTCACCACACACCACACCTCTCCTCCTCTCACCACACCTCCACCTGTTGTGTCACCACACCTCCTCCTCCTCTCACCACACCTCCACCTGTTGTCACCACACCTCCACCTGTTGTCACCACACCTCCACCTGTTGTCACCACACCTCCCCCCTCCTGCTGTTGTCACCACACACCTCCACCTGTTGTCACCACACTCCACCTGTTGTCACCACCACCCTCCTCCTCCTCTCACCACACCTCCACCTCACCACACCTCCACCTGCTGTCACCACACACCTCCCCCTTGTCACCACACCTCCTCTCACCACACTCCACCTGTTGTCACCACACCTCCACCTCTCCTCCTCTCACCACACCTCCACCTGTTGTCACCACACCTCCCTCCTCCTCCTCACCACACCTCCACCTGTTGTCACCACACCTCCTCCTCTCACACACACCTCCTCCTGTTGTCACCACACCTCCTCCTCTCCTCCTCACCACACTCCACCTGTTGTCACCACACCTCCTCCTCTCACCACACCTCCACCCTGTCACCTCTCCCTCCCTCACCCACACCTCCTTGTTGTCACCACACCCTCCTCCTCCTCTCACCACACCTCCACCTGTTGTCACCACACCTCCTCCTCTCACCACACCTCCACCTGTTGTCACCACACCTCCTCCCTCCTCCTCACCACACCTCCTCCTGTTGTCACCACACCTCCTCCTCCTCTCACCACACCTCCACCTGTTGTCACCACACCTCCTCCTCTCACCACACCTCCACCTGTTGTCACCACACCTCCTCCTCCTCTCACCACACCTCACCACACCTCCACCTGTTGTCACCACACCTCCCTCCTCCTCCTCCTCTCACCACACCTCCACCTGTTGTCACCACACCTCCTCCTCCTCTCACCACACCTCCACCTGTTGTCACCACACCTCCTCCTCCTCTCACCACACCTCCACCTGTTGTCACCACACCTCCTCCTCTCACCACATTAATAGACTCTTATGGATCCAAACTATTTATTCATTGTTCTCCCTTATGCTGGCACGACTTGTCTCACTTAAGTCATCTGTAGAGCCTTCTGTTATTCTGTTTAATATTGTACAAAGTTTGATGAAGAGCATTGTATCAGAAATACAGTTACACTTAAATTCTTAAATATAATTAGTATTCTGTGTACGTCTGGTATGATTTGTGTAACTTCGCAGGTTGCGCCTTCTTATTTTCACTACCCATTAATTCCTGCAAACTATTTGTTTTTAGTAATCCAATTTTTAAACTTTCAGTGTAAAGAAGTTTATCAAATACTGTACTGTACATTGATGTGAAATGTCATAATTTGTATTAAATATTTTTTCTTCATCACGTCAGGTTCACAACAGTGATGGAGTTTGGTTACGTCTCAGCCCTGAGAGTATACGCCAGTATTGCACTAATGGGTATTCAGAAGCTTGGTGTCTGCAGTACAACCAACACCTGGGCAAGACACTGCTGGTACCGCTAGACCATCCTAAGACTATTCTAGACCAGGTATAGCACTGTACATCTCAGTAGTAACGAATAAAAGAAATTATGGTTGGCACAAGACTGTAGAAGTATTACATGAAAGAATATCTGTTATGCCCTAAGGTGGAAACTCTTACATCACTCATACAACATGATAGGGAAATGTTGACACTCTTAGTGGATCATACAGCTCTAACCAGAAAATACAGTACACCACATTCAAACTGCACAGCATGCCAATGTAAGATTGTGTTAAATAATTTGTGAAGCCTTTTCCTTTCCCCAACACTGGAAATGAGTCCCTAAAATTTATTCCCATTCTCCATCTAATTGTTATACTGTGTAGATGTATTACATATTTTATTCCTTAGTGACCAACATTAGGGTTACCAGGTATTCCATGGCAGTTAGGTAGGAGATGTAATTTACTAAGTTTTCTGTGAGTGAAGTAAACATTGTATCAGTAAATGTACACACTAGGTGGGATTAGTACCTGTATTGTGATTCAGTATTGCATGGTGATTCTTGGTCTTGCTCTTGTGTTATATTAGGAGTCTACAGTACTGCATTGTGCATTAATCCTTGCCATTTCCTTTTAAAGTTGTATACAATACTGTTTAGGAATTGATTTTGTTAGTTATTAATTGGTATAATAGTCATGAATAATTCTTGTGAACTGCTTATTGGTTCTTTACTTACCTCATCTCTCCAGGTGATAACTGACACCATAAGTCGACGTCGTGATGGAAGTCCTCGCCGTGAAACTACACTTGGTGCCGATGGTGCTGAATGTACTACTGGAGGAGGAGGAACGTACACTGTGGTTAAATGTGGTGCCTCGGGACACAACATTCGTAGTCAGCCAAACTTGAAAGCGCCACCAGTTGGAATGCTTGTCCTAGGAAATGTTATTACAGCAGATTGTGATGCTAAGAATGCTGATGGTACGTCAACATCAACTATTGCACAGGATGTTGTTAGATGCTCACTTGAAGATTAATTACTGACTTCATTTTAAGTCTTGGGGCTCACTGTGTGTCAAGAAAATGTATCAAAGTACGATACAGAACACTTGGTTTACAGTAAACATCCCCTACTGTACAGTACAGTATACTATAGTAATGTGTGCTGACTTAACCAACCATTATACAGTACATAATAGTGAAAATATAAATAATAAATTATTGACACTTAGGAACAAAACAGTTTTGAAAGGTGTGTGGTAGATCATTTAGGACTACAAAAAAGAACCATCTGTACAAGAGCAGCATACCCTGTACAGCATCTGCTTACCACAGATGAATGTAAATGGAGCTTCTTCGTTTTTCTTTTCTTTTTTAAATTTTTTCCATCTTTCCTACACTCTTAGGTACGTGGGTTCGTTTGGATTCAGAGAGCACACGCAAGTATTGCTTCACTGATGGGGAGGCGTGGTCTCTAGCTATGTCTCGAGGTCACACTCTTTACCTTCAGCGCTCCCATAGCCACAGTCACCCCTACCCATCATCTCTGCCTGGTGGTAAGTTTGCCTCTTTACACAGCTTGCATTAACGAGTAGAAAGCTTCTATTGTCAGAAAAAAAGGAATAATTTGTCTACACATGAAGCTGTTAAAGGGAGAGGTGGACGACAGGACAAGTAACTAAACATAAGGTGAACGTTAACTCACCATAATTTAGAGATACTCATTGAAGTGCCTTTTATTAGAGTTATGAGTAAAGTTTATTATACACTATTTGTTTTTTCTCTTTGTTTATAAACATTTAACCCTCTTATCGTCAGAGCCTGAGACACATATGTGCATGAAAACTTACGCTCAGCCTCGGAGGTTGTTGCCGAAAAATCGTTGAAATATTTTTTTTTTTTTGTTCAGGGCTCATATCTCTGCCGTGGAATTGTTTTATTAATTGTAATGGGGGTCTCTTCTAGCATAAAATTGTCTGAAAAATTGTATGAAACCATAAAAAATGAAAATTCTTGAAATCTAAGCAACTTTTTTCGAGTATAAGTGGAAAATGTTTAGTAACATCTCGATTTCCATTCTCATTTTCCTTGTATTATGGTGTTCATTGATATGTATTATACTATACCAAAATAAAGAACAAGGCCTGTAGAATATCGTGGTATAAGGAAAAATATTATAACACAAAAACTAATGGAATAATTAAAGGGCTGAGCGGCACACCTCTAATGGCCAGAGCGACACTGGCTTCACGCTGCTCTGCTACACACACG